CACCGAGGGAAAACTTTACAACCCTGATCTCAAAAATAGAAGTAAACCACAGACTTTCCATGGTACAGCTTGTGTTTCAGTATCAAATAAAAGAAACAACTAGCGTTACAAAGAGAAAGAAGAGACGTTTTCATATGAAAGAGAGGGTTGGGTAGCTCTTATTATTTGAATTGTGGTTCCTATAAGAGGCTTTCTCATCCCTTGAAAGAAGAACTTCAATTGTTTTGCCCCTTTCCCAAAGAACAAACATTTTGGTGGGGATGCTGGAGCCCCCCCAGAGAGGTGGGGAGAGGGGGGCAGGAACGACGGGCTGCGTCACAGCCACCACGGGCAAGCAGATGAGCAACCAGCCTGCCAGTTTATTAGCCCACAAAGGCAGAAAAAGGAGGATTAATGCAGGCAGCACGATCACCAGCACACTTCTAAGAGGAATTAAAAAAAAAAAAAAAAAAAAAAAAAAAAAAAAAAGGATTTAAGTGGAGGGCTGGGAGGAGACTAATGATCAACCGCCGGATTTGTGGCATCTCCCACTTCAAATGAAACCTGCTCAGCTTGGAGGTACAAAGTGGTGTTTCCCATCCTCAGCCCAACAATTTACCTTGAGTCCCTGAGCTCCGCGCAGCTAAGAGACACAAAACATTATATACTTCCCTAAAATAGGCAAGAAAAACATACCACGTGGATACAGCCTGAGCACAGTGCATGCGTTTTAATACAGAAATTTAAAGACATTTCTTCATTTAGTAAAGTGGGGCTTTTTTATTATTTGTTTCACCTTTTTTTTAGCTTTCCTAATGTACTTTGTGCATCAAAGCAGCTTTAGGGTTAGAGAGATTTGGGGTAGAAGCAATACAGCAGATAAAAACGTCAGTGGCGAGATACGACAAATTTATAGTAAATACCTGTCAACTGCTATTTATCTAAATTATCCAGCTCTGGGATTCTCCAGAAATACTTCATCAACTAGGAGGCAGCTACAGTTTTAAGCTTCTATTTACATCAGAATCTGCTCTCTTTCTTTCTTTTTTTTTTTTTTTTGGACACTTGTTCTTTACCCTAAAATAACCCCTTTGTAGCTTGGATCAAAGAGCTGGGAGTGTCAATACCAGTGTCTTCATGAACATGTTAAGAACCTCAAAGTAATTGGTAACCAATTAGCATAAAGCTAAAAAAACCCACCTAGCTAAGGCAAACCCTAAATGAGTACTAACAGGCAACAGCACTGGCTGAAGTAGGAGCTTAAGCGACTTAAATCACCGTCAGCTGCCTTTGAGACAATATCTTGGGAGCACCCTCTGTGCAAAACACTCTGACTTTTTCTGGCTTTTTTTTTTTTTTAGGAAAAAAAAAAAAAATTCCTTTCTGCTCTTCGTTCACTCTTTGCTTTCTGCCTTGCTACAGCTTACGGGAAACATGAAACAAAAACTGCTTTTCATTTTATGTTATGTAAAGCAAAGCAATTCCATGTCTTGGCCTTGAAATACAAGGCACCCAACAGCTGTTCAGATGCTCCAGCAGATAAACCATCTGGCCCAAACCTCACCTTTCCTCATTTATTTTGGATATCGATCAAAGCAACTTGAGCATTACATAGACTTTGGTCAAAGACAACATAAAAGATAAAAACGTCAATGGCAAAATCACTTCACTGAAATGTTCTTGTTTCTTCTTTATATAATAATATTACCATTTTCAACAAACTTCTCTATTAACTCAAGGAAAAGATATACCTGATACCAACAGCCTAACCATGCTGCAGATGAATGTCCTTAAATAGCACATTGCTGCTGAACAGAAAGTGAGTCGGGTTTAGTGTTTACGATCAGCTAAAACTAGACACGGACTTTGGCCAAGGAGACCAGGACAGGCCCCAAGACTCACATGTCCTGGCTCTTCTCCCCCTCCTTAACCCTTTTACGTGACGCTCGTGGCACCTGAAAAACCACCATCTCCACAGTCCCAGCTAGTCTTTTGTTAATTTTCCTCAGAAAAGGACAGTATATATTTGTCTAATATTACCAGCGTTCCCACCGAGACACCGAGGTTGTTCAGTGGTTACCGATTTGTATCAGCTTCAAACCAAGCCTGTAATTCAAAAAGCATATTTTCACACAATTCTGAGTATATTTGCTGCGTGCAGAAACCACGGGCAGGGTGAGGACTTGTTGTTCTAGTCATGGTTTAGGGACGTAAACCCAAATCATGAAATCAAAGGGTTATTTGAGCAAGGAAGGGTTATCCCTGTGTACAACTCCATGTATAACACACAAATACACTCTTGTGATGTTTTGTTCGATATCTGCAAATATTCAAAGCCTCCCCTACGCCCATATCTTCCTCAAGACACCGTCAGCCAGCTCGTTTCTCACAAGAAAAGGAATCGTGGATGAATAGTCCCATAAAGCATCTCACCAGAGCCTGTCCTCCCCGAGCCGCCACCACGCCAAGGTCCAACTCTCAATTAACCCCCGCCTGACCTTCCTTCACTTTCTTTCCCCCTCCTCTGCCCTTCCTGAGAAAGTTCAGCATTTCCTGGAAAAGTCTCCTTGCCTGTTTGATATTGTACTTCGCCTTGGTTGCTGAAGGAAGGATTTACAGGTGCCTGGCCCCCTCTGTAAGACCATGACCGAAGGCTGACCTCCCGTTACAATATGTGAACTTCTGCCCTGCTGATAAGGCTGGCAGATATGAGTAGGATTTTTCAAATAATCCTTTGGGAATTTATAAGCAGCACAGCCATAAAACCGAGGTGACTGGAAGGTCGATTTCACTAAAAATAATAAATATCTCAATGTTTATTCAACGTGGGCCTTTTTAACTGCAGGCCAAGCATTTAGATAACGCTATTGTAAATGACAAATATTAGGATTTTTTGGTAACTATTACATTATGATCCTTCCGTCTGACACTGATGTGGCTGTTTCCCTCGATGCTTGCTGGATCTCTGACATTGTTCAACCCAAGCTGGGCCTAGAAAGCCAGGGCAGGATTCAATCACAGGTCAGGAAAAGGGCAATTTTCTTGTCAGGAGCCTTCACTACAGTTGGTTACCTTTTTCTCTTGCTCTCATCTCACCAACACACCTTCTCCAGAGCTCTGCTGTGTATTTTCTCTCATTACTAGGGCTTTTGGTTGAAACAGGGAAGGAGGAGGGGGAGGAGGACTGAATGTTCTCAGCTCAGGATGGGGAGAGAGGACACTGACCCACTGGCACGAAACCCCTGCAGCAGGTTTAAGCTCACCATCACCGAGTCCACGGCACTATCCCCACCTCCAGCAGAAGACAATCCCATCCCACCTCCAGCAGAAGACAATCCCATCCCACCTCCAGCAGAAGACAATCCCAACCCACCTCCAGCAGAAGACAATCCCAATCAGATCCACCACAGAGCACCAGCCACAAGACCTGCCTTCTAGCAGCAGGAATTCCCTAAATACGCTTTGGGGGACCAACTGCTATTTCAGATGAACAAGTAAAGCAACAAGACAACAACAAAGCCCCGATGTAGAAACGAGACCATTTCAAACGTATAAAACTGTTACATCCACCAGCGAAAGCTCTTCATCCTTTTCATAACAGCTTCAGGTATAAATACACAATTAAATAAGTACCCTTGCATTAAACAAATGCACGTAAGCCACACAAATAGGATTCCTAATCCTGTTTTCGTTATACATGTTCTTCACTGAAGTTTCTCCAAATAAAGTGACACTTTGAAATCCACAAAGCGTTTCAGACCAGTTGTAATCTTCAATTAGCACACTCCCTGAACCGGGCTCCCAACGCCGGGCTGGAGGAGGCGGGTTTTGTCCAAGATAAACAGAGTAACACATTTTGGGTAGGTTAACTTTTTCATTCCAATAAAATATCATGGCACTGTAGCCAAATTACATAATTATTAACAGATGAGGGCACAAAAAGATTTTATATAAATGTTTTTTATGACAATTCTTTTCCTTTCGCAAATTCATTTGTATGTATTGCTGGAGAAACTGGCTTTAGAAGTGCCTTAAAAACAATTCTCTCTCAAGCCTGGCTCCACCGTGGAAAGGGAGGAAAGCTGTGAACAGAGCGCTCCTTTCATCTGCTGCCTGGGCTTCGGGTTGCTCAACAGCAGGAGAAGAGCCCTCTGAAAGCTCCCTCTCTCCAAAGGATGGTAAAGAACGGCTGCAAACAACACAGGTTCTCTGGGCCCGCAGACGCAAGGCTCGCACGCTGCTGGAGGCATCTCAGAAATTAAAAGTTGAAGGGTAAACTACAAAGGGCATCTTATCTGCCCTCGTTATAAATAAGTAAAAAAAAAAAAAAATCAATGCCTTATGTACTCATAATGCCTAGGAGAAAACGCAGCTCATCTAGCAGCCTACATCTTCAGAGATGGGAGCTCTCTGGAGAAGTTCTCCAGAACGTGACCCTGCTCAGAATAACCCTTTTTTAGCCAATAACCAAACGCCAACAGAGAACCGCTTCGGTGTGACCGTATGCTTCAGGCCACGCAAAGCCTGTGGGGACGCTGGGAGTGATACAGTCCAACGGTGGGTTGGGTGGGACAGCAGCAAATCTGCTCCTGTCAAACGTTTGAAAAGCAGCAAAGTTTCTCCTAAGCGCAGCAAACAATATATTTAAAACCAATTTCCCCCCCCGCAACTCCTCCAATTTCACTGAATAATGAAGCTACTGTGGTCAAAGAAGAATTTTTGGAAGAAAACTATATGACCAAGAAATTTGTATATTATAAACCCAGGCTCCACACTACTTGGAGAACACATCCCTTTGTATTTCTGCGGCCTGCAGGAAGTAACTGTGCGGTTTTTACCCAAATCCATCCATCACTGGCCTGCTTTCTACTTCAGGTAATGCACTTCCTAGCTAGGCGAACATTAATAAATGTTTTACAACCACCTCCTTCCAGCAGCATCGATGGCAGGAGCAGCACCCCGTCGCCTTCTTTAACCCACAATCCAGTGTAAGAACCAGTCTCCCGGGCAGAGTTACTTACCAGCACAGAATATATGTGCAGGCATCGGTACACGGGTGAGAAGTCCACCAGGTCCTGGGCCCCAGGCACCTAAACAACAGCAGGAGAGCAGTGTGAAACGTGCAGAACACATGTAGGTACGTGCAAGTCTAATATGTCACGCACAGGTGAGTGCAACTGCAAGGCATGCAAGTCTGACAGAGCCACACCAAGATCTCGGGTACGTAACAATCAGAGTATCAGCATCTACCTGTAGCTGTCTGTATTTGCATCTTTTAAGTTTCTCAAAGTGGGAAAATTTAATTTAATATTGCTCTCACTCCGTTTACAGTCCCCTATGAAATCACATTGCAGGCTTTAGCTCTGTTAGCCAGCTCAGCAGAGATTTAACTTGACTGTAGGCTTAAACACAATTTCAAGCATCCTGGCACAAGCCATTTTGGTACTTATGCAACAGGAGGGAAAAAAACAACCTGATTCTCTAGATATCTAGTTAGATTTTTTTTTTAAAGCACAAATTCTGTTGGTTTTTGGTGTTTTGTTTTTTTTTTTCCTTAAAAAACACACTCCACACAGACTCCACCACCTTTCAACAACACAGTGAGTCTTGCACAGGGACAAGGAAGCACATTTTTGAAGGGTGGGACGGAGGGAGGGAGGCCGAGAGGAAAGATCAAAGAAGAAATTTGCATACAAGCAGCTTGTGTCCTTTGGATATGTTCAAGCCAACACAGTATTAAGCTTGTTGGCCAAGGCATAAAGCTAAGGCAACCGTCCTTCTCCCCCAAAATCCAGAGAGGAGGGGAGTGTTCTGTTGACATGTGGTGGAAAAAAAGGGGAGAAAAGATGAAAGGGACCAATGGACAGGCCTGGGAAACATGTTTATTTTATATATTTTTAATTGTGCTTAAGAGGCCTTTCTGCTAAAAAGGAGGTAGGATGAAGAAGAGAGAAATATTTCTAGCTGGATGAGAGTACACAAGCCTCAACCAAAGCTGCCCAAAGCACCTGAGGCGAGCGGTCCTCCTCATCTAAAGTAATGGCTCCAAACAGGGGAGTGCACAAGTTATGGGCTGGAAGGGGGAAACAGGGTTTTGTTAAATCCCCTCCCGTGTAACAACGTGGAATGGGACCTGTTAATAATCTCCTCCTCGGCACTATGAAACAAGGAAAGATGCTGCGGAGACAGAGCGGTGACACACGGCATGGAGCAGCCCATCCTGCCCCCCCGCCACGCTTAGAGACCCCCAAAAAAAGGCACCAGCCCCAACCTGGGGGTGCAGGGAGGGGAAGCAGGCAGCTCACAGGGAGCAAAGAGCACAGAGGATTACTGGGGTACGGCATAGGCCTGCTCATCCCTCTCACTGGGCTTTCACAGAATCCCAGAACCATTCCAGTTGGAAAAGCTCCTTGGGATCACGGAGTCCAACCCTCAACCCGACTCTGCAAAGTTCTCCCCTACCCCACATCCCCCACAGCTCATCCCAACGGCCCTGAAACCCCCCCAGGGATGGGGACTCCCCCCTCCCCGGGCAGCCTGTTCCACTCTGGGACCACTCTTGCTGGGAAACATTTTCTCCTCCTGCCCAGCCTGACCCTCCCCTGGGGCAGTTTCCAGCCGTTCCCCTTGTCCTGACCCTGATCCCCTGGGAGCAGAGCCCAGCCCCGGCCTCTCTGCAATGTCCTGTCAGGAGCTGCAGAGAGGGATGAGGGCTCCCCTCAGCCTCCTCCTCCTCACCCTGAACACTCCCAGCTCCTTCCCTGGCTCCTCACAGGATTGATTCTCCAGCCCTTCCCCAGCCTCGTTGCCCTCCTCTGCCCTCGCTCCAGCCCCTCCAGATCTCTCTGGGATTGAGGTGCCCAAACCTGGACACAACCCTCCAGGTGTGGCCTCACCAGGGCAGAGCACAGGGCTCTGTCACCTCCCTGTCCCTGCTGGCCACACCAGTGCTGACACAAGCCAGGATGGCGATTTCCTCCCTCCCTTGCAGCGAGCACCCCAGGGTGCGCTCTGAGCAGCTCCTGCAGATGGGCAGCGGGGGTCAGGAGAAAGGAGGAAGGTTCCAAGCGAGGGACGGGGCTGGCATCACCCGTGGGACCCTTTCCACGTTGATCCTGGCTGCTCCACGTGCCCCTGCAGAAGGATGATGACTAAACCGAGGGCAGGCAGCTGTGAAACCCAGATCACCGGTCCCACTAACATCAGCTTTTACCTTTTACAAGATTATATTCGACAATTGCAAACACTAGGCAGCAGGTTTATTGCATTAATGCCAATTTTATCACGGCTTCCCAGCCGTTTATTTTCCATTTGCAGTCTCCTAGGCCTTCTAATGCTCCCTAAATAGCTCCCAAGTCCAGATTTCAGGCAGTTTGTAGACTCCTCGGGGTAGAGATTCTGCCTCGCCGCACCCCTCCAGCACCGAGAGCAATCGGTCTGCAGTTGGTAAAACAGTAAAACACTTCAGGCTGAGAAATCCCCGATTGCAAAACTGCTGGAGATGGCTAAAGCAGATGGGGATGTATCAGCACTCACTCGACCCAGCCATCCTCCGGCGACCACCATCAGCGTGGGGAAGCTGGACTGGATGGACCCGAGTCCACCCCGTGTTTTTCTAAGGGAGGAGAGATCTGTCATCCCTTCACAACATCATCAAAGCAGGCGATGTTTTCCTATGAATTTGAATTCAGGATCAAACGGTTTTGCTCCTCTTGGATTTGGGGCACTAGTTGAACATGGTCCACGGAGAAATATTTCTGATAAAGATTTGTGAAATCAGGATATTGCCAAAAACGGAGTCTACTCCCCCAGAGAAATTCTTTCAAAGCAGACTGAAACATTTTCACAGTCTCTGATCTTCTGCAAAAACTTTTAAGCCCACACACACACACACACACACACACTCTCACAAAAAAATCTGCTGGCCTGTTCTGCAGAGTTAACATCTCTGAGACATTAAGAGCTTTACAACTGCTAATCTAGGTAGAACACTATCAGACGTGGAAGTGCAAGTCCTGGACCACAAGAAAGCTTTTTTGCAGACAGAAGGCCAAGCACCCAAAACCTGTGCTCAGGTTTTACGCAGGATAGAAACCTACAATATATTTTTAAGGAAAAGAACAGACCACCTCTTCCATATATAGCCATAGCCCTACAACAGAAGAAATAATAATCCTACCGTTTGAAATCTTTCCAGACTAACCAATACAGGCCTTTGAATATACAGAATATATGAAATTATCTCTGTGGCTAGTTCAACACATTGCACAATGTAAACATATCTAATATTTACATATTTAGATATTCATCTAATATTTAGATAATTAGACATATCTAAAAATCCAGGCTTAGCACATCCCCTTCAGCAGTGACTTGATTTTCTTAGCCAAAGCTGCCAGCGTTCAAAAAATAAATAAATCTTTGATTTTTGAAACCTGATGATGAAATGAGAACTAGAGCCGCCCCAACAACAGGACTGATTACTCCCCTGACATCTCTCCTTCAGTCTAATCTTTTTTTTAATTTATTTTTCTTTTGATTTGCAGAACAAAGAATTTATTCATCTTGTCCAAAATTCTCCCAGTCCACAAAACATCAGCTTCACAAAGCTCATTCCCAAGTCCTGCATCCAGCACGTCCCCGGTGCTGGGAGCAGAGGCAGACCTGTCAGTCTCTGTAAACAGCCAACCCTTCTCTTCTTGAAAGAACATTTTCAGTCAGGTTAAACACTGACTGTAGCGAATTTAACCCATGGAAGGCAAGTTTGCCATGGAAATGTTTAACTGTGGCTGCCACCAACACGAGGCTGGCCCTGAGTTAAGGCGTGCTCTGGTCTGGCTTTAGATAATTTGTGATACGACAGCTTGAATCTCTGATCCTTGTTACGCTTTGATGTAAAGACACGACACAAGCACAGATACATTCTCCCTTCTTTCAGTGAGGGGAAAAAAGCCTGCAGACTTTAAACACCAGGACAGGTGGTTTACGATGCACACGTGGCAGAAAACATCCGTTCATCGACAGAATAAAACTGCTGCTGAAAGCAGTGTTGGTTCTGCACTGCATCCAGCCCAGGATCCTCAGCACAAGACAGACATGGACCTGTTGGAGGGAGTCTGCAGGAGGCCACGGAGATGCTCAGGGGGCTGGAGCCCCCCCTGTGAGGACAGGCTGGGAGAGTTGGGGGGTTCAGCTGGAGAAGGCTCAGGGGAGACCTTAGAGCGGCCCCCCAGGGCTGAAAGGGGGCTTATAAGAAAGATCATTGAATCCCAGACTGGTTTGGGTTGAAGGGACCTTAAAGCCCATCCAGTCCCACCCCCTGCCCCGGGCAGGGCCACCTTCCACCAGCCCAGGTTGCCCAAAGCCCCGTCCAACCTGGCCTTGAACCCTTCCAGGGAGGGGGCAGCCACAGCTTCTCTGGGCAGCCTGTGCCAGGGCCTCACCCCCCTCACAGGGAACAATTTCTGCCTTAGATCTGATCTAAATCTCCCTCTGTCAGTTTAACCCCGTTCCCCCTCGTCCTATCCCTCCCCGTGATGACGAGTCCCTCTCCCCTTTCCTGTAGCCCCCTTTAGGTATCAGGAGGCTGCTAGAAGGTCTCCCCGGAGCCTTCTCTTCTCTTTGGCTAAGATGGGAACAGACTTTTTAACAGGGCCAATTAAAATAGCAATGGGACAAGGCGTAAAGGCTTTAAATTAAGAGGGTAGATTCAAACTAGATATAAATAATAAATCATTTACAATGTGGCTGGTGAAACACTGGCAGAGGTTGCCCAGAGAGGTGGTAGATGTCCCCTCCCTGGAAGGGTTCAAGGCCAGGTTGGACGGGGCTTTGGGCAACCTGGGCTGGTGGAAGGTGGCCCTGCCCGGGGCAGGGGCGTGGGACTGGATGAACTTAAAGGTCCCTTCCAACCCAAACCCTCCTGTGATTCACCAAGTATCTTTGGGTCCCAGCAGCCAGGAGGCACTTTACCCCACGCTGAAAGGAGGTACAGAACAAACCCTGCTGTGGATTTGTTACATCTCGTGGGGTCTTGACGCCCTTTGGGTGTCCCAGTGTGTCCCGTGGCTGAACCTCAGGGGAAAAAAAC